TTCCATTTTTCGTATTCTTTGTCTTTAGTTCTTTTCAGATATTCATTGTTTCTTTATTTTTTTCTCTCTTTTGGTTTTCATTCGACATTTTTTGTATAAGTCAAGAATATCTTTCAATTACACGTTTTATATTTTTGAAATACAAGTTTAACATTTTTTAATACATACACAACAGTTATTTAGACACATTTTTCACATGCTTGGGTAACATTTATGAACTACAATAAAACATTTTAGAATAATTGTCAATACATTTCTGTAGAATCTTAATTAATAGTTTTCAAATAGAAATATTAAGATTTTCGGAATACATAGTCAACATTTCTGATATACACATTTGCCATTTTCCAAATGCTTGATTAACATTTTTCAAACACCAATTCAATATTTTGTTAAATGATTGATTAGCATTTGTAAACACATGACCAAACTTTTTGTAATTTTTTAGTACATAATCAACTTTTTTTCTATACACTTTTAACATTTTCCAAATGAATTAAATTTTTTCAAACACTTGTTCACATTTTTTTCAAATGCTTGATTAACATTTTTTATATACATGATCAATTTTTTTCATCATTTTTAATACATGGTCAGCACTTTTTTCTATATACATTCAACATTTCCCAAATGTTTGATTAACATTTTTCAAATACTTTTTCAACATTTTTTAAATCCTTGATTTAAATTTTTATATACATGATGAAAAAATAACATCATTTCTATATTACATGATCAACCATTTCTATAAACACATTCAACATTTTTCCGAATGCTTGATTAACATATGTCAAATACTTGTTCAACTTTTTTCAAATTCTTGTTCAACAATATTTAGATGTTATTTGTGGAGTTTTTTTGTAATATATACATTTAAAATACTTAAAGTATAACAAAGTACAAAATAAAGAAAAAAGAAAAACATAACATGGAAAAAAAGAAAAGAAAGAGGTTGTGGCCTGCCGCGCACATGAGCCGGCCATCTTGCTCGCCCCTTCTGCGAGTCTAAAGCTGGACTCACTGAAGGCTAGATAGGGCGCCAATGTAGAGGGTTTTTCTATACGGCCCTTGTCTACAGTAATCAGGCTGGCCAATCTGCGCGCAATTAAAAAGATAGAAAAATAAAAGAGTACGCAGGGATCAATCCCTTATCTCCTCGAAAATAGCCATCACCGCTAGTTTTTTCAATGGTTTTCAAGGTATTTTCCTTCTGTTTTTTCTATTGTTATTCACGAGATTTTCTCCGTTTTATTTGCCATTTTCACTAGGTTTATTCATTTTTCTGTTGTTTTTTTAGTTTTCTTTATTTCTTTCTTGGTTTTCACTAGGCTTTTCCTTTTCTTTTCTTATTCTTTGGTTTTTGCTTTAGTTTGTTTCTAGCTCGTTTTTCATCGGTTTTTCTCTCTCTCTCTTGGTTTTCATTTTTTCTATACACATTTTTTTGTATATATCTAATACATTTTTATATCACATGTTTAACATTTTTTAAATGCTTGATTAATATTTTTAAAATACCAGATAAGATTTTTTAAATAAATGGTCACCATTTTTCGATACATATTGAATCTTTTGTTTGTCAAATGCTTTATTCATTTGAAATACAAGTTTTAATATTTTTTGAATATGTGGTGAACCTTTCTTTTATACACATTTAATATTTTTCTAATACAAGTTAACATTTTTGCTATACATGTCTTGCTATAAGTGTGCACGTACCCCTCGGCTCCTCCGCTGCATACATGTGGGCCGGCCCAAGTTGCGCATTCGGTTTTGGAAATGTTCTAAAACATTCCCAAACTGCTTTTTTCCTTGTTATTTTTCTTTTTTTTCAATCAGGGGTTTCCCTCTTTTATTTTTCCACTTTCCTTTATCTTTCATTTTCCTTTTTTTATTTTTTATTTTATTTTTTCTTTCCAAATTTCATGAACATTTTCTGAAACCCAGGAGCATTATTTTTCAAAAATATGCAAAGAGAGAATGATATTCAACACCTTCAATTTCATCAAGACACGAAATCAAGAAAATCCCTTAATGTAGAGGAACAAAAAAACTCCCGCGCATGTAAGTCTGTATCACGTTTCTCAGTGGCAGATCAACACGGCTTGTCCTCCCATGGGCCATGATGATGCTATCATCCCATTCTCAAAGCCGTCCTTGCCGTCCAACCATGAACGGCAAACAAAGAGTTCAAATTCACATCTCAGTTTTATAAATACCGGTTACTAGAAATTTCGGTTCAGGCTGGAGAAAATTTGATATCGTTCAAGAAATTAAATGTGAGATTGTGCTAAATATGTTTGCTTTTGCAAGCACCAAATTCACCTTGGCCTGTTGGAACGGACCACCCTCAATCTTTGCGAGGTTGGTGGTTCAACTACCTTGACCCGCAGCTCATTTGCAAGATCTTGATTAAATGCTTTTATGTTTTAAGCACAGGAAATATTGGAATTCACAATTTATTTAAATCATGTTGGACGAAAAAATACAGATTTTAAAGATTTTTTGAAAATCAGGTTTTCCACGCCCAACCAGAAAAAAAAAGGGGGACTGAGAAAAAAAACGTTGCTTTCACACAACAGTCAAAAAGCTCTAGGGTCAAAGTAGTCGTTTCCTTAAGGGACTAAAGTGTAAACATAAAACCACTTTACGTATATGCATGATATAGAGGCTTAACTGTTTTCGGGAATCATCATTTGTGTCATTCTCTCAATTTAGTTGGCATTCGCCATCGTACTCCATGTTGGCCCTGTCCCCCCACGTCGACTACTTTCCGACGATGATGAGATGCAATGACGAACAACGAAACAACTCGATGAAATTCTTTTACACCGAGATGCACGGCGGTACAAAGCAGTAATCAATCCTCTGACTAACCAGCACAACATTGGATAACCAATCCTTTGCCTGCTAAACTGATTATGCGGGTATATAGGTATTTATTAGCTAAACTGTTACAAATCCTGTTAGGTGGCTGTTCCGTATATGTACCGTACACGGCCACATATATATGGTGTTTCACTCCTTGTCATTGTAGTTGCAATGGTCTTTTCTCATTATAGTTGGCACTCTCCATCGGATCTCCCAAAGGTTAAGGTTTGTTGTAACGGTCTTATCTGATTTTAGTTAGCACTCTCCATCACGTTTCTTGGGACAATTTTAGTTGCACGTCACCGGCCTCCATTGACATACACTCTCGGAATCGCGAGGATGAAAAAGGATTGAACTGCAACCACATCTAGTTCTTTTTCCTAACAGTCATTGAAGCACAAACAAGACATGGAAGCACAAGAGGAGTTCAAGTCAGGCCGGCTCCGGTATATGGGAGCGGCGTCAACGGCGCGTAGGCAGATTGTTCTGGCAATGGCAATGGTCGTTTTGTGATTCAGGAATCTCGATGTAATTTTTATTATGTTTCTGGTGCTTTATACTTCTAATGAACCTTTATAATAGATCTGGGTCATTTTCACAAAAAAGAAGAAGCTCTTTTTATGATATAATCAGTAAAGTTGTAAAGGCTAAAGTAGGAATACGATGACTAAAACTGAATTGGAAGTGTGAAACTAAGAGAGAATATAATTCCCTGCAGCTGCTATCACACAATGCAGGCCTAGTCGGACTGCTAACCACATGTAGGCACTCCAGCTGCACTACTTTTCTGACATAAACTGACCTGCCCTAATTCAAAAAAAAAAAAAAAACTGGCCTGCCCTTCAGCACCTTAACCACCAGCGCTGCGTGCTGCCTTGTTCCATTTAACCTGTGAAACCCATCTCCTTCCTGGCCTATAAATACATGGCCACACAAATAGTCTTCCATCAAATTTTCCAAATAAAAGTTGTCCTTGACCAAGCGACATAAACCACACGTGCGTCCTCTTGAGGCAGGCAAAAGTAGATGACGATGATTGGTGAAATGGATGCGGAGAGCGTTGCAGGATACTTCAGGGACAAGAGCATCCTCATCACCGGTTCAACTGGCTTCCTAGGAAAAGGTATGTGTGTGTTCATGCTGTAATGCATGAGCACTACTTTTCATTACAGGATATGCCGTGCATGTGTGGTGATCACTGAGACGCTTATATGTACTCGTGTGTTTCTTGCATGATTTGTGGGTAGTGCTTGTCGAGAAGATACTTATGGTTCAGCCAGATGTGAAGAAGCTCTTCCTCTTGACTCGGGCCCCCAATGTTGAATCCGCAAAGCTTCGGATTCATACAGAGGTGAAATATTCGTTTCTACACTATTTTACCCTATGAGTACACCTTTCTATTGATGCCATTGTGTTTCTTGATAATCCGTTCTCACTTGTTCACTGACCTTTTATACTGCGAAGAAATATAGATGAAAGAAGTGAATGAATTGCATCTTTTGCTGTCTATATATCGTTATGTGTTTAGTAATAAACACACACCAGAGGGAATGATAGTGATAATAGAGAGCACAATATGGAAGATGTGAGATAGATGCACACGGTATTTTAAATAGTACAGAGCTGCATTGCTCTTGACAACTTCATCCAGTAAGTTTGCAAGTGGATTAGCAGCATTCTTCTCTGAGAAAGTACACTTGCTCCTTAGAGAGTAATGTTACAAATGCATAGTACAAACGCTGTTTTGGTATTCTTTCAGGTTACAGGGAGCGAGATCTTTCAACTGCTGAAAAAACAACGTGGTGTGGGGTTCGATAATTTCATCGAAGAAAAGATCTGTCCTTTGGCAGGCGACATCATGCACGAAGACTTTGGACTAGGAGCGCTCTTGGACTAGACATTGCCAGCCTGATAGATTTGTCCAAGGACATAGACATCATCGTCAATGGAGCTGCAACTACGAATTTCTCTGAAAGGTTTGTAAGTGTTCTCTGGTCACATATTACTGGCACATTGCTGAAACAATTGGTCCTAATGTGATGCTAAATTTCAGATATGATGTGGCTTTCGACGTGAATGTCTTGGGAGTGAAGCACGTCTGTGCGTTTGCAAAGAAGTGTCCTAAGCTCAAAATGTTGCTTCATGTTTCAACTGGTGTGCAACCATAATAATACTATATATGATCAAGTTTGTGGTTGGTCGTGTGTCATGACATTCTGAATATTAACTCATTATATAAGTGATTGATTATTTGATTTTACAGCCTATGTTGCTGGTGAACAAGAGGGCCTAATACCAGAGAAGCCATTCTTAATGGGTGAGACCTTAAGGATGGGCACACATCTGGACATCGAGTCCGAGCAAAATCTGATCAAAGAGACCATGAGAGAACTAAACGCTAATTGTTCCACAAAGAAGGCTGAGAGGAGAGCCATGAAAGATCTTGGTCTGAAGAGGTCAGACACAAACATCTGATTAGAAAAGAAAAGAAAACATACTTATCCATGTAAACTCCTTTCTTCCATTTGGTAGCACTACAAGCCTGATACATATGTGACGTGTTTGTTCTTATGGACAACTGAATGAAGGGCACGAAACTTTGGGTGGTCAAACACCTATGTCTTCACCAAGGCACTGGGGGAGATGATGATCGGGCACCTGCGAGCGGACATTCCAGTGGTAATCATCCGCCCTAGCATCATAACCAGTACCCTCAAGGAGCCATTCCCTGGATGGACGGAAGGAATCAAGTGACGGAAAAAACAAAATATGTTTCTTTATTATTTAAGACAGTGTACAACAGTGGACCTACATTTTCATCTTCCACAGGACAATCGACACGATTATCGTCGGATATGCCAAGCAGACCTTGCCATTCTTCCTAGCTGACCTTGATTTGATAATGGACGTGGTGAGTGATTTATTCACCAGATTAGCAACAAATTTGCGAATGAACCTTGATCAAGTTACCAAGTGAGTAACAAGCTGTGAGGAGTGGTCGTGGTGTGTGTGTGTGTGTGTGTGTGTGTGTTTTTGACAGATTCCAGGGGACATGGTGGTGAACGCTATGATGGTTTCCATGTCAGCACACTCGGAGGATCAGCAAGCGCATATCATCTACCATGTAACATCATCACTGCGCAATCCCGCACCCTACGCCGTCCTCTCAGATTCAGGCCATCGCTACTTCTTCGACAACCCACCATGCACGGGCAGGAATGGCGAGTTTGTGCAGCTGAAGAAGATGCGATTCTTCAGTACAGTCGAACGATTAATAATGTACATGACCATCAAATACAAGCTTCCTCTCGAGGTTAGCTAGCTTACTATTTCAACATGGAAACATTGATTTCAAAGAGATGGGATGAGAATGAAATTTATAGTATGAGTTTATCCTATGATCAATTGGACAGATGCTTCATCTAGCAAACATTCTGCTATGGGGTGTTTTCTCACGGCACTACAATGAGGCCCGTAGAAAATACAGATTCGTCATGCAACTGATCGAGCTCTACGCACCATACGCCTTGTTCAAAGGGTGGTAATTAAGTGACTTTAAAATCTTATCAAAATGTTGTTTTTCCTTTGGATAATAACATTTTATGAATGTCCTCTGACTTAAATTGTCGTTCATCAATCTTGTGAAGCTTTGATGACATGAATTCACAGAAGCTAAGGATGGCGATGAACAAGCATCAAAATATCAATGTAGCCTACTGCTTTGACTTTGACCCCAAGTCCCTCGACTGGGATGACTATTTCTACAGTGTTCATATCCCCGGTGTGCTTAAAATTATGGACGATTGAATACTATCTAATTAGCCAAATTTCAACTGAAATTGCTAGCCTTTGAAATACAATAATTGTACTACTATATTTATTTGTAACTCCGGTGAATATGTATTGTGCAATATTTTGTTATGCAATTTGTGCATTATATCAATAAAATAAAATTAGGTTTCAACTTTATGTTTTATCCAAGTATATGTATAGTAGTACTCCGTCATGCAGCTCTAATGAATTTTTTGATAAGTGGCGCTTTATTATTTAAAAGGTTTAAGCATCACACCCGGCCTCTACATAACTAGAGTAAATAGCATAAAACTACTACTTTACAGGCTAGGGTTCTAAAAAACTACCTGTTTTTAATCTTTCTCAGATAACTACCAAGTGAGTGGTTGGCTGTTTAACAAAACCCAAATCATCGAGTGATTTGAAGTTGATCGTGATTATGACAAGTCGGGCCCGCACCTAAACGAACCATTTGGTTGACCGTTAACTTACAAGTGGGGCCCACATGTCAGTGTCTCTACCTCATATTCAAACAAAAAATCTTCAATGCCACGGTTCTTTCCCAAATTTATTACAAATATGTCCTCACTTTTTACAAAACAACCCCTATAAACATTTCTAAAGAGCAACCGGGTCCTGCTATTTTTCTGAAAAAGCAATCGGGTCCCTTTAGTTTTTCGAAAAAAACAATCGGGTCCCTATTCATGGCCGCCGCCGCACCATGCCGTGCTCCATGCCGCCGCTACGCACCTGCAGGACGCCCTCTCATGCTCCTTGGCCGCAGAGACGGCCGCTGCTGCTGCTCCTTTGCAGCCGCCTAGCCGCGACGGCCTCTGCTGCTGCTCCTTGCAGCCGCCGAGCCAGGACGACCTATGTTGTTGCTCCTTGCAGCCGCTGAGCCCCGCCTCGCGAGTTGGTGCGGCGTGTGTCCGCGGCTGTCGGCGCCACAACCAAGTTGGTCCGGCGCGTGGTGGCTTCCGGCGGCGCCCCGGTCGATCTAGCGCATGCGCCATGGCCATCGGACCTGGCCGCTTCCGGTGGCGTCTAGCTGGTGGCTTTCGGCGATGGTGAGCTGGTGGCTTCCGGTGGCAGAGGAGAGAGGGAGGCCGGGGAGGGGTGTCGCTGGCTTGGGAGAGGACAGAGTCGCCGGCTCGGGAGGGGGGTGCGTGTCCTGCTCGTGCTCGAGAGAGAGTTAAGGGGAGGGAGAGAAAGAAAAGAGATGGAAGAGACACTGATATGTGGGCTCAATTTGTAAGTTAATGGTCAACCTAATAGTCAAACAGACAGTTCGTTTAGGTACGGCCTGACCTGTTATAATCGTGATCAACTTTAAATCACTCGACGATTTGGATTTTTTGAAAGAGACGACCACCCACTTGGTAGTTCTCTGAGAAAAATTAAATACAAGTAGTTTTTTAGAACCCTAGCCTATAAAGTAGTAGTTTTATGCTATTTACTCATATAACTGAGATGCACACAGCCATAATTAAGTCTTAGTTTCAAAGAAAATCAAAAAAAGGTGAAATACAAGTAATCATGTGGAGAGTGTATAACGCCTAAGACTGATGGAGGTTCAGGTTGCAGCAAGAAGCTTCAAAACTGAAGATGTGGAGAAGGTTCGGAGTTCAGACTTAAAGTGTCAATTCGCATGGCATCCTCTTCTGCATATAGGAGGATCCATACAGCGAGATCGCCTCTGAATCCTTGATCCTTGGAACACACTGCTGTTATCACCCTCCATATATGGTCAGATGGCCTCTCAATCCTTGATGCAGCACACACTAGTTTTTTTTTCAAAAAGGGGGTATTCCCCGGCCTCTGCATCAGAACGATACATACGGCCACATTTATTAATAAGAGTAAATAAGGTTCAACAAGGTCTAAAAGTCTGCAAACAAAAGGAGCGGCAAGCTCACACAGAGCCTCAATGCCAAAACAGAAAGCCTAACAAGCCACAACCGGCTGACAAATTAAAAGATAGGTAAACTAATCGTCTATCCTATTACATGACCGCCATCCAAACCGGTTGAAGATATCCCGCGCTACCATCTCCCACCGGACAGATCCAGTAACCAAACGCTCCCTGGCTTCCGTCGGAGTGAATGAGGACCACATACGGATCAGCGCAGTAGCCCGGAATAAAACCTGCAAAAAATGAAGGGTTTTTATCATTTATGCCACTAGTTGTGTCCCACTACTCAGTTTTGCCATTAGAAGTTACAACTACTCAAAAATGCCATCAATCCGTGAGATGCTTGCTCAAAAATGCCATTAGATATCTCAAAAATGCCATCCTTATGTTAGATGTTTGCTCAAAAATGCCATTAGACATTGTTATTTTTACGTCAAACCCGTTGACCATGTTCTATGACAAAAATAAGCCTAGACCCACATGTCAGTTCTCTCTATCTCACAATGATATGTGTGGCCCCACTTGTCAGGAGTAACCAAGCAAATAATTTTACAGGAAAATAAGAACACTGTTGGGATCAAGTGGGCCTCATACTTTATTGTAGTGAGATAGAGGGAGAGCTGGCATGTTGGTTCATAGATATTTATGTCATTATAACATGGCAAAAGAGATTTGAGATAACAATAATGGTGTTTAGTGGCATTTTTGAGCATGTGCCTAATGAAGCAATGGCATTTTTGAGCAATTGAAATTTCTAATGGCAAAACTGAGTAGTGGGACACAACCGGTGGCATAACTGATAAAAACCCAAAAATGAATAGTTGCTGTTCTGTTAAAAGCCAAATCATTTCTGCAGTTTCAAATTGCCCATAACAACGCATAAACTCCTACACGAATGTGTCTAGCTGTTTCGGACTCTATCCCAGCAAGCCACGTCCCGAATAACATGTTGACCGAAGTCGGGGGAGTAATGTTAAAGGCAATTTGCACAGAGCGCCACAAGCCTCGTGCCAACGGGCAGTCAAAGAAGAGGTGCTTGATGGTCTCCTCCCGATCACAGAAACTACACCTAGTAGAACCTGTCCAGTTACGCTTAACTAGATTGTCCTTCGTTAAAATTACTTATTTATGTATAAACCACATAAACACTTTAATCTTTAAGGGGACCTTAACTTTCCAAACCTCTTTGGAACTAGGAATCACACTTGAGTTAATGATATCGATATACATCGATTTAACTATGAACTCCCCAGATCTAGTAAGCTTCCACCACAACTGATCGGGCTGAGGATTTAACTGAACCCCCATCAATCTCCGGACCAAGTGAAGCCATGCTTCCCATCGGTCACCCACAAGCACCCTCCTAAACTGAATGTTGAGCAGAATGGACTGCAGAACCGTGGCAACAAGAGCTGTTGGGGAACGTAGTAATTTCAAAAAAATTCCTACGCACACGCAAGATCATGGTGATGCATAGCAACGAGAGGGGAGAGTGTTGTCTACGTACCAACGCAGACCGACTGCGGAAGCGATCACACAACATAGAGGAAGTAGTCGTACGTCTTCTTCCCGATCCGACCGATCCAAGCACCGTTACTCCGTCACCTCCGAGTTCTTAGCACACGTACAGCTCGATGACGATCCCCGGGCTCCGATCCAGCAAAGCTTCGGGGAGGAGTTCCGTCAGCACGACGGCGTGGTGACGATCTTGATGTACTACCGACGCAGGGCTTCGCCTAAGCACTACAACGGTATGATCGAGGTGGAATTTGGTGGCAGGGGGCACCGCACACGGCTAAGGAACGATCTCAAGGATCAACTTGTGTCTCTATGGGGTGCCCCCTGCCCCCGTATATAAAGGAGCAAGGGGAGGAGGCGGCCGGCCAAGGTGTGGCGCGCCAAGGGGAGTCCTACTCCCACCGGGAGTAGGACTCCTAGTTGGACTAGGAGAGAAGGGGGAGAATAGGAGGAAGAGAGGAAGGAAAGGGGGGGGGGGGCGGCCCCCTTCCCTTGTCCTATTCGGACTAGGAAGGGGAGGGGCGCGCGGCCACCTCTTGCCTCCTCTCCTCTTCTCCCTTAAGGCCCATGTTGGCCCAATAACCCCCCGGGGGGTTCCGGTAACCCCCCCCGGTACTCCGGTAAAATGCCGATTTCACCCGAAACAATTCCGATGTCCAAATATAGGCTTCCAATATATCAATCTTTATGTCTCAACCATTTCGAGACTCCTCGTCATGTCCGTGATCACATCCGGGACTCCAAACTAACTTCGGTACATCAAAATGCATAAACTCATAATTACTGTCATCGTAACGTTAAGCGTCCGGACCCTACGGTTCGAGAACAATGTAGACATGACCGAGACACGTCTCCGGTCAATAACCAATAGCGGGACCTGGATGCCCATATTGGCTCCTACATATTCTACGAAGATCTTTATCGGTCAGACCGCATAACAACATACGTTGTTCCCTTTGTCATCGGTATGTTACTTGCCCGAGATTCGATCGTCGGTATCCAATACCTAGTTCAATCTCGTTACTGGCAAGTCTCTTTACTCGTTCCGTAATACATCATCTCATAACTAACATCTTAGTTATTATGCTTGCAAGGCTTATGTGATGTGTATTACCGAGAGGGCCCAGAGATACCTCTCCGACAATCGGAGTGACAAACCCTAATCTCGAAATACGCCAACCCAACATCCACCATTGGAGACACCTGTAGTACTCCTTTATAATCACCCAGTTACGTTGTGACGTTTGGTAGTACCCAAAGTGTTCCTCCGGTAAACGGGAGTTGCATAATCTCATAGTTATAGGAACATGTATAAGTCATGAAGAAAGCAATAGCAACATACTAAACGATCGGGTGCTAAGCTAATGGAATGGGTCATGTCAATCAGATCATTCAACTAATGATGTGACCTCGTTAATCAAATAACAACTCTTTGTTCATGGTTAGGAAACATAACCATCTTTGATTAACGAGCTAGTCTAGTAGAGGCATACTAGTGACACTCTGTTTTGTCTATGTATTCACACATGTATTATGTTTCCGGTTAATACAATTCTAGCATGAATAATAAACACTTATCATGATT